GACTGCAAACTCAGGCTGGGTCTCTGAGGTGTCTCAAAATGCCCAGGTGGGGACCAGCAGTTAGTGTAATGACTATGTTGCTGGACTCCCACGTAGTTGACCGCGGTGAGTCCCAGACACGGTGGCTTAAACGCACGCCGGGCGTGTGTGCGTGCATGCCTGTGATCCCGAGAGGAGAATGGAGAAGGGATTGTGGCGTGACCATCCCCCCTGGGGGGTGATTTCTCGCTTTCTGTCTCTCTGTCTCTCTCTGTCTGTCTGGCGAGCGCACGCGCCCTATAGCAAAAACCTCTCAAAAAAAAAAAAAATTGCCCAGGCAGTCTAGGTGCACCAATAAGTGCACCACCGCTGTCAAGGTAAATGTTGGTGGCAGTCTTGCTCTTCCCTGTGAGGGCCAGGTCACACTCTCAGGCTAAAGTTCACTCTTTAATGGGGTTATGGGGAAATGAGAGCACAACCAGAACAGTGAAGAGGTAGAAAGCCATGTCCTACATGAAGCTGCTGAAGGAGCTGGGGATATCCATGTTTGTTATTTTTTACTCATTTGTCCTACAAGTCATTTTATGTGCAAGGCAAGGTCCTCGAGTTCAGAGTACAGTGACTACAATGTGATGCAGGTTCTTGGAGTCTTCTCCATAATGGGAATGAACTTGCCCACCTGTCTAAAAGAAGTCTGGGAAGATCTCCCTGTACAGATGAGTTTTGAGTTGAGTCTTGGTAGATAAATAGGTGTCTGACAAGTAGAAAGAGAAGAAAGGGTTTTCCAACCAGAGGTTCAGACAGACAACTTGAAATGTGTAGAGTTTGATGTCATTCCCCAGTATGCTGCCTGATCTATAATATGTTTGAATAGACGGACATAGGGTAGGCGCCAGCTCCAAGCCAGTCATCCTAGCTGGGGAAATTCAGTGCTCTGATTGGTCAGGCCTGGGTCACAGGTCTAGTCTGAAACTAGGGGTAGAATCCCAGTGGAACCATTTGGACTACATATGAGGAAGAGGTAGTTGTCCAATAAAGCTCAAGGGCTGCTGTTTGCAGGAGTGGGAATGTTTGTTCCAGCTAGAGGAACAGTGTCTTCTAGAGCTGTAGAGGACAGAATGAGGGTTAGCGAGTGGAAATTGCTGGCCTTACTACTTTTTTGTTCAGAGGGAAATATCTTTCTATGGAGTACAGGGATGAAATACGCCAGCTGTTGAGGCAGTGAGTTGACTGGCCCTCCATGCAGTCACCATGAGTAAGGGACAGCAGCCTTTGTATGGATGGAACAGAGAACCTCTAGCATCATCTTTTCCAAACTGGTTTATCTGTACCTTAAAACCCAGTATCCTGGGGCCAGCAGGGCATGTGGGTTATGATGCTGGACTCCTACATGGCTGACCATGTTGGTGACCTTGACCCCGTGGCTTAAAACTCACGCCAGGCGCGCGTGTGTGTGTGTGTGCGCGCGTGCACGCATGCTGTCTCTGTCTCTCTCCAGCAAGCACGGAGACTGGAGAAGAGAGGATTGTAGCGTGTCCATTGTCCTGGTGGAGGGGTGATTTCTCACTTTCCTTTTCTCTGTCTCTGTCTCTCTCCAGCAAGCACGCATACACTATGGCAAAAAACTAAAAAACAAAACAAAACAAAGTGTATCTTTATATGTGCATGCAAAACTACAAGCAATAATTTCATGAGACAGTGCTGTTCCTTTCTACTTGTGGCATGTTCATATTTTCTGTCCTACTTTGTTTTATTTAAAAATTCCTGTTGGTATGCTGGAGAGTAACATAGCGGTAAAATAAGGGGCTCTGCAAGTCTAACCCACATGGGAAGGTTCTGGGTTCATATCTGCAGACCTCCTTGAGTATACGGGGCTTGCTCGTTCCCATGGTCTGGGGATGCCTGGGGCTGACTAAAATTGGGGTGAATTACAGAACCAAGGCCTTTTGGAGGTACTTTCTCTCTCTCTTCTCTCTTGTTCAACCAAGAAAGAGAGAAACAAAAACTTCTCATTACGTGCAACCCATTAAATTGTTTTCATGTCTCTCCAGTGAGTTTGTAAACCTGCAGGTCGTAAAGCCCTGTTCTGAGACCTGGTATCTTAGCCTGTCTGTCCTACATGGACAAGGCTTGAAGATGATTTTGAACCTGGCTTTTCTATGATGATGGTGGTATAGGTCAAAAATGAGGACGCAAACCTGGCCTACCTGTGGGAGCTCCTGATTCTAAGTGGTGGAATCTCCTACTCTATCAGAACAGCTCCTGACATGGAGGAGTAGAGCTCCTTTCTCTGCAGGCCCTCAGGGCAGAGTGGCAGGGAGTTTACAGGCCGGCTGTGGTCTACAGGATGGTGGAGGCGGCCGGCAGTTTGTCTGTCCAGAGGCTGGCAGCAACCACTCTGTTCCAGCAGCAGTTTATGTTGTGAGGTCGAATGTGTGTGTCTGTGTGTGTTCTCTGCCAGGCCTTTTATTGAAGGTGAGGGAGTGGCTTTTAAAAATAACATATTTTTGACTTGAAACAAGTCAAGACAGAGTGGAGACAATTAGAGACTGACATCCTGTTTAGTCATCTCTTGAGAGAGCTCTATTTTCAGAACTGTTTTATAAAGGTTCACAAGTGGTGGTAAGATAGTTCAGGGAATGTTAAGTTAGCAGTAGTCATGATGCACATTAACTGATTTGAACGTGAACATGATTTACAATATGGTAACCACATTGGTAACAAATTTTATGTAGAGAAAGGGAGGTTTGTATAGCCAGGCTGTTATACAAGGGACTTCAAAGAGTTCATGGGAAAATGAAATTAAAGTATAAGTTTATTTTGTTGCAAAAAAATTAGAAATCCAAGCATTTTTCATAATATGCATTTCCCATGAACTTTTTGAAGAGCCTTCCTTTGGATAGGTAAAGCTTTCTGAGTCTATGCAAAACCAGTATTCTTTTTTTTGGGACAGGTTTTTGCTATAGGGTGTGCACACTTGCCAGAAGACAAAGAGACAGAGAGACAGAAAGTGAGAAATCACCCCCCTAGAGGGATGGCCAAGCCGCAATTCCTTCTTTTCCATTCTCCTCTTGGGATCTTGGGTGTGCACACACATGCGCCCGATATGAGTTTAAGCCACTGTGTCTGGGACTCGAACTGCAGTCGACTACATGGGACTCCCGTGACATAACCATTATGCCAACTGCTGGTCCCCAAAACAAGTATCTTTTAATTTGCAAAAGTATACAGTGTGAATTTTTTTTTTAGAGAGATTTTTGCTATAGGATGTGTGTACTCACTGGAGAGACAGAGATATAGAAAGAGAGAAATCATCCTTCAGGGGATGGCCATGCTGCAATCTCTTCTCCATTTTCCTCTTGGGATTTTGGGCATGCATGCACATGTGCCCAGCATGAGTTCTAAGCCACCAGGTTCGGGAATCAAACCACAGTTGACTATGTGGGAGTCCAGCTACGTAAACATTACATCATCTGCTAGTCCCTATAGTGTAAGCATTTAAAATATGTGGTGGTGATGTAGGGAAGCCCAATGTATTTTAAAATTGTTTTCAGAATTTGTTCACTTGTAAGTACAATCCAAACAGTAAATAGTACTGTTAAAATTCTTTGAGATCATGTGGCAGAAGCCATGTCAGGAATGCTGAGTGATTGATGCCATAGACTTCCAGATGAGGACATTGAGGCTTGCGGTGGGCAGAGCCCTGTCCAGTGTTCAGAGCCAGCTATGGTGGAATCAGACTGGGATGCGTGGTTAAGACTAGTGTGGGGCTCTTTCTTCTGTACCACATGAATTGCAGCTTATTCCCAAAATGACCATCCCTATCTATCCTGAGTTTTTCTTGATCTTCTTTCAGATAAAAGGTAAAAGGCAGAAATAGAGCCATGGGCTCAATCTGACAAGATTTATTTATTCAAGGACGATTATAAATTCATGTGTTTGGGTCCATAAAAACCTCACAATGCAAATGTAGAGGTGTTCATGGATAACAAGGTTAGCGTCCAGCAGGAAGAGCACAGGGCCTGCCTACCTGGCAATTACAGTGGTGCTAAGAACAGATCTGGAAAGCGCTGTTCCATCCCAGCCACCATATTGTACAAGTGCGTTTGGGAAACTGGAATGGATGCAAAAAGTGGGACTATGTGAGAAGACTTCAAACTGCCTCCTTTGCAGAGTGAATGTCTTGAAGTCTTTACTGAGGGGTACCTTTAAGGAGTGTCAGTACTCGCATAAACAGTCAACAATGGGACATGTAAAATTCCTCAACTTCCTTCCCCTGTGCTTCCTTCAGACTGACTAGAGTGGGGCCACTTGGTGCTAAGTGCTAATTAAATGCTCTGTGCTGCAGGTCCCATGTGGAAAATCCCCAAATTCATGTCCTGAATCCTCCCTGTACACACCAGGATCTCATGCCTGTGATTCAGGTTGACGGAGGCTGCAGGTAGATTGTGGAGTGAAGACCCTATGGGGGGTGCCCCTTTGTCTGTCTGTCTCTCTCTCATGGAAGGAATAAGTAAACTTAATAAAGAAAAAGATTGACTAGACTTTGGTGAAAATATATAGACAGAGACTTTTGTACTTTTGACTCCATAAAACGAGAGATTTGTGGTTGGCCATGCCACATTTGTCCATTACCCAGGTGTCTCTCTCTCCCATATACTTGCCACATTATTTAGAAAATGTACTCTTAAAAGAAAAAGGCATAAAGCATGGTGCTCCACAAACAGTGAGCAAGCATATGAATGCTTCTATGTTACAAAGAGCTAAGAACAGAAAGGAATAAAATGGAAGAAAAAGGCAACTCTGAAAAAAATGTAGTTTCTTTTGGATTTGCTTTTCAACTTTTATAATTCCTTGAGCTTTCACTTTTTCCTTACCCTCCTGCTGTTTAATGAAAAGACTTAGGTTTGATTCATGACTGCACTTTACATGTTTAGGGCTTCTCTGTAAATCATTTAAGACGCACAAAAAGTACTTTAATATTAAAATGTAACATACTATTTTTTCCCCCTTTTTTTTAGGTGGATCTGGAGCCAGAAGGAAAAGTATTTGTGGTAATAACCTTAACTGGGAGTTTCACTGAAGGTAAGAATGAGTTTTGGGTGATTTCTGGTCTGTGTGTAATTTCACAGTTCATACTCAAGAGGGATTTCTTTCATGGAAATTACAAAAAAGGCATTTTGTAAAAGATGCTTAAGTTAGGATGGCTGGTATTTTGTTTCCCAATGGTCTGTTTGCCCAGGTAGCCAGATTAAATATATTTACTAAACCTGACAGTCTCATGTTTTATTTAATATATTCCCTCAGTTTTTGTTTTTATTCATCCTTCTCAGCTGATTTGAGTTTTGCTTCTTTTGGTTCATGCCTGTTAAACTGTATTTTAAATTTTTGGTTTTGTGCCTGTCTTTTTGTTTGCCCCTGAATGTTTATGAAGCAAATTTAGGGATTATATTCTCTTTTTTATAATTTCTATTTAATTCTTACCCTTTAAAGGGTTGTTTTTCATTCCCAAATCTAATTGAGATAAAACTTATATATAGTGAAATGAAAGATCAGTAGTGAACACTTTGAATTTTGACAAATGCCTACAAATAAGACCAGCAACCCAGTCCAAGATCTAGATGTTTCAATTACTGAAAGATTTCTTGAGCCCTTTCTCTGAGGCAGTAAATGTGAAGCTTCCTTCCACCATAATTGTAATGACGCAGCCCTTTTTTGGGTCTCTTTCTCTCATTCTGCATTATTTCTGTGAGGTCCACTAACACTGTGCTTATTAGTATTGTACTCATTTCTGTTGTTGAGTTGCATTCCATTATACAAACATAGCACTCGTTTGTTTTGCCATTCTCCTCTTGGTGGACTTTTGTTTTTTCCTTATTGCTGTTTATTATGAGTAATGTTTTGAAAAATATTCTTATGTATACATTTTTGTGAACATATATGTTCATTTTTCTTGGGTAAGTACCTAGCAGTGGAATTGCTGGGTAACTGAGTAGGTGAATGTTTAACTTCGTGAGAAACTCCCAAATGGATTTCTAAAGTGGTTGTATTATTGTGCTTGTACCGGCAGTGTAAGAGAGTTCTAGTTGTTTCATAGCCTCGCTGACCCTTGATGCAATTGTTCTTTTTAATTTTAGACATTAATGGATGTTAAATGGCATCCCGTGCTTTTAGTTAGCATTTCCCTAGTGTTGAACACTTTCCCATGTATTTACTGGTCTATGTAACAGAAGCATAAGTTCAAGTTTTTGGTCCTATTTTCTAAAATTGATTTTTTCCCCTTAATTGCTATTATTGATTTATGGGAGTTCCTTTTGTTTTTCTGGGCACAAGTCCTTTGTGAGGCATGCATATTATAAATACTTTCTCCCAGTCTGTCTTGTGTTTTCATTTTCCTAACAGAGTCCTTGAGGAGAAGTTGAAGTTTCTGTGAAGTTCAATTTATTTGCCTCTTCTTTCATAGTTCATACATTTTTTTGCCCTCTCTAGGAAATCTGCCTTTAATAGGGTCATTAAGATATTCTATTGTTTTTTTTCTAGAAGTTATAGTTTTATCTTTATGTTTAGGTCTATGCTTCTTCTTAATCTTTGTATGTGATGTGATAAAGAAGTTGAATTTTTTATTGTTGTACACGAATCCAGTTGTTTTAGCATCCTTTGTTGCAAAGACTTTCTTTTTTTTTCCTATTAAATTGCCTTGGAAACTTTGCTGAAAATAACTGGAGTATATATGTGGGTCTAGTTCTGGATAATCTGTTCTGGTGATTTGCTGGTCTGTCATGCTGGTATCACACTTTTTCTTCTGCCTTATTTTTTTTTTTTTAATATTTCTTACTGCATTTGTTTTTACGAAATATTTTATTTAACTTTATTTATTTATTTTTTTAATTTGACCGGTGTGGGGAGGGGAGAGAATATGAATGAGAAAGCAAGCCACCAGATCCGGGACTCAAACCATGGTCAGCCATGTAGGAATTCAGCACCCTTAACCACGAAGCCAGCTGCCAGCCCTCTTACTGTTGCTTTATAGTAGGTCTTTAAGCTTAATTAGTGTGAATCCTCCAGCTTTGGTTTTTTTTTTTTTTTTGGTGAGGTTTTTGCTTAGGCTGTGTGTATTCACCAGAGAGAGAGAGAGAGAGATAGTGAGAGGGAAAGTGAGAAATTAGCACCCAGGGGGTATGGCCATGCCATAATCCCTTCTCCTCCATTTTTCTCCCGGAACTTTGGCGCATATGCACTGGGCATGATTTTTAAGCCACCAGATCTGGGACTCAAACTTCTGTCAGCCATGTGGGAGTCCAGCAACAAAACCACTATACCATCTGCTGGCCCCAACTTCATTCTTTTTTGTTTATGTGTTTTAGGTTATTTTAGCTAGTCTCAGTATTTTGGATTTTGCTTTAGTTTTAGAGTCAGTTTACATATTTCCACATGTAGGCCTGCTGGATTTTGAGTCAAACTGTGTTGAATCTGTAGATGGACTTGAGGAGAATTGTTGTTTTAATCATTGTGAGCATCTTCAAATTTGTAAACATGGTATATCCATTTATTAGTCATCTTTTTTTTTTTTTTGGAGAGGTTTTCGCTATAGGGCTCGCCAGACAGACAGAGAGAGACATAGAGACAGAAAGTGAGAAATCACCCTCCAGAGGGGGTGGTCATGCTGCAATCCCTTCTCCTCCATTCTCCTCTTGGGATCTTGGGCATGCACGCACATGCGCCCGGCGTGAGTTTTAAGCCACTGGGTCCGGGATGCGAACCGTGGTCGACTACGTGGGAGTCCAGCGACATAGCCATTACGCTAACTACTGGTTCCCTTATTGGTTGTCTTTAATGTTGCTCAGCAATATAATCAGTACTTTAAATGTTATAAAATTTTCAACATAGAGGTCTTATGTATTGTTTTCAAAATATATTCCTAAATACAGTCATCTCTTGGTATCTATGTAGGATTAATTCCAGGATTCCCTAGGGCTCCAAAAATCCTCAGATATTCAAATTATTTTTATAATGTGGCATGTATTTGTATATAACCTAGACACATCTTCCTGTATACTTTAAATCATTTCTAGATTACTTATAAGTCATTTTAGCATCCTATGTAAGTGAAAAGAAAAACAGATAATTATCTTTAGTCTTAGGTCGTAGGGTAAGTCATGATGTATTTTTCCAT